AATCCTGACCCTGATGCTCGTCTCTGCTCTATCAACCTCAGTATGTCCAGGCACTTCAGTGAAGCTCGTGTGTGTTGTGTGGTTTTGCCCATCATTTGGGCTTTGTATATTGAGAGGTGTATTACCTCTTCCTCGCTAATGCTTTTGTTATACGCCCAATCATGGGGTCGGGTCTGTATATGTGTATGTCTATTACTGATGTTCAGGTGTATATTTACTGTATGTTCATCTACCTTACGTAATGTGTGTGATCCTGGCATAATAGTGATAGCTCAATGGAATAGATTTTTGGTTATCAGGTGCTTCCGTTCAGGCCCCATACGTTAAGTATATTGGTTTTATGTCTGTTTCTGAAGTGGTCATGCCCAAAACTTTTAGGGGCGATTATGGGTCGTGACAATGGCAGAGAATCTTATGAACCTTGTCAAAATGGGCAAAACTCGCCAATTTTTGGTGTAAGATGGACTACTGATGACAACTGGCAACCGCATCTTTATACCCAGGGCCGGTGATTTAAGGAAGACACTTTTTAGGGATTGCCATGATACTCTTTGGGTAGGACATCCGGGTTAGGAGCGAACATTGGCCTTGGTGAAACAAGGATATTATTGGCCCCAGATGCGTGATGATATGAAAGAATATGTCCGTACTTGTCTCTCTTGCCAGCAAAACAAAGTTGAACATAAGAAGAAAGCAGGCTTACTTGAACGTTTGCCCGTGCCTAAACGTCCGTAGGAAAGTGTATCGCTTGACTTTATCACTAGACTGCCTAAAGTGGGAGACATCGGGACTATCTTGACTATTGTGGACCGGTTCTCCAAGTATGCCACTTTCGTAGCTGACCCAAAGTATGTTTCAGTAAAGGAGACTGCCCAACTCTTCTTCAAGTACATTGTTAAATATTAGGGTGTGCCTAAAAGTATTGTTAGTGACTAAGATTCGGGTTTTGTTGACAACTTCTGGACGGAGTTATTCAAGCTTCTTGGTTCATAACTCAATACTTCATCAAGCTACCATCCGGAAATGGATGTGCAAACCGAACGCTTTAACTGTATGCTCGAGGAGTATTTGCGCCACTTTGTCAATGCTAATCAACGAAATTAGGTGTAACTTATTGATGTAGCATAGTTATGCTTCAACTCTCAAAAGAGTAGCTCTACGGGCAAGAGTGCTTTTGAGATAGTAAATGGACAACAACCACTGTTGCCCCACACAGTGGATGGACCTTATGAAAGAAAGTCACCCGGGGCTTACCAATTTGCTAAGGAATAAAAGAGAAACCATGACATTACTTGTGCCTATCTCGAAAAAGCAACAAGTAAAATAAAGAAATGAGTTGATGAAAAGAGGAAGCCACTTGAGTTTAGAGTTGGGGATCAAGTTCTTGTCAAACGCAATCTTGAGCAACTCAAGATCATGAGGGGAAGAGACAAAAGGCTAGTGCGCAAGTATGAAGGACCGGTAACCATTCTGAAGAGAATTGACAAGTGTGCTTACAAGATAGATGTTCCATCTTGGCTCAAAGTGCACCCGATTTTCCATGTGAGTTATTTGAAGCCTTACTATCCAGACAAGGAAGATCCAACCCGAAATGAGCTGAAATGCCAAACCAACACAGCTAAAGCGGGGAAAAAGTCTGTTGAATCTATCTTGGCCGATCGGGTGAAAATGGTTTCCAAGAAGAAACAAAGGCAATACTTGGTGAAATGGAAAGGCCTTGGAGATGAAGAAATCAGCTGGGAAAGGGAGATGGACTTGTCGGCTTTTCAAGAGAAGATTGATGCTTATTGGGCAAAGTAGTCGAGGGTGTCAACTGTTCAAGTGGGAGAGATTGTCAAGGTGTGCCCATCCAAGGGCCAACACCTTGATGCCACACACATTTGTTTCCTTTAGAGAACCAAAGACATGCTTAAGAAGTTGTTGGTGGAAGTGCAAGCAAAGGTCTAAGACATAGTGCAAGACAACCCACGGCATGCCATGAGATAGCAAGTGCCAAGCCGCAACTAGCAACAGCTCACGCCGCAACTAGGAATGGCAACGGGGCAGGCGGGGCCGGGGATCACACTTCCCGTCCCCGATCCCCGATGGTGAAAATTCTCCCAGCCCCGGCCCCGATCCCCGACGGGAAACTTATCACTGTCCCCGCCCCCGCCCCCTAACGGGGATCGGGGAAACCCGATCCCAAAAATTACCCTCCAATAATAATAATAATAATAATAATAATAATAATAATAATAATAATAAAAAAGAAGATCAAATAATGCAGCAGATAAAAACAGTAATACAACAAGTACGATGACTCCAGATAAAATTGCAAGATGAAACAATGAACTGTTGTAAAAAGGAAGCAAGTTAACATCACATAACTATTTCATATTATTAATGGCTACAAATATTAAAACTTGTTTATATAAGTAAAATGTTCAGGTCTAAAGAAATTTACAAAGATGAATACCTCTAATTGTCTTAAAGTGTCCAGGAACATAGCATGTTTAAGTAGAAGAGATTTCAACCGATTTTGAAGCTCAGAGAGTTCATATAGCATGATAGACTCAGAGTCTTTTATGATCACTTCACAGATTAAAAAAAGAAAAATCAGAGAGACGGTAAGATCGGAAAGATCGGCGAGATCAGAGGAGGGAGATCGGCGAGATCGGAAAGATCAGCAAGATTAATGAGATCGGAGGAAGGAGAGGATAGCGGAGGAGCCACCACTGTGAGGAGCACCTGCAGGCTGCAGCAGAGTGAGAGAGAGATAAAGAGAGACTGAGAGGAGAGAAGAAAGAGCAGTGAGTGTGAGTGAGTGGGAGGAAGAGGGGCAGACTCAACCTAAACATATATATATATATGGAGAATATTCGGGGAATATTCGGGGAATTATTCAAGGATTATACGGGGCCGGGACGGGAAAAACTTATCCCCGTCCCCGGCCTGAAAACAGATAGGGATTTAATTTTCAATACTATTCCCGGCCCTATGGAGATAATTTTCGAGGAAAACCCGTTCTAATCGAGGTCGGGGGATCAAGTCCCCGTCAGGCTGACTTCAAATTGCCATCCCTAGCCGCAACCAGCAACAGCCAGCAGCGGCCCAGGCCGCAGCCCAGCAATAGCGCCAAGCCACAACAAGTCGTGGTCCCAACCACAGTAGGCCTTAGCCTTGCTTGTGCAGCAGTAACTTTTGGCCACATTTTAGAAGGTCAAATGTAGTCTTTTTGCCTTGAAAATTTTTATGTAAATACCTTAGTATTAAATGTGTTTTGAGACCAAGTTTTGTAATTTTTCTCGTTTTGTAAAATTTTTAGAAATTCATTATGACTCCTCAAACATAGAGGATGTTTCCTCTTACCGGTTAGGAAAAGGCTTAACAAGCTATATTAAGGAGGGAATACCCAAGTATTGAACCAGACCACTTGCACCTTTAAAGTACCCCAACCTAGCCAATAGTAAAGCAACTTTTGTAGCACTTTTGGTGCATTGATTAACTCATGTAATGCCTACTTTTGATCAATGAAAAATTCATTTTGCCTTTAAATTGTGCAAAGCTTTTCTAATATTGCTCGTTTTAATTTTAACTTGTTGCTTGCTAATTTGTGACTTGTCTCCAACCTAGTGACTCATAAACTAACTAATATCGTGTTCGCTTGTCCTTGCAAACCGTTTGAGCTTTATTGGTCGGCTAGTGACAAGAGTCAACTAGTGCCACACTTGCATCTCTTGACAAGGCTTCCGCATAGCCGGTGTGTGACACAAGGCCAAGGTTGCAAAGGGTAAGGGTTGCAAGCTAAGCATGGGCAACAGGAGATGGTGTGGCCATGGGTGGCTATGTCAAATCCGCAAGCATTTTGCAAAGAATGAGGGTAAAGAGCAAAGGGAGTACACGAGGGAAGGGCAGAGAAAGTACTTCGGTGAAGAGATGGGATTTGTGCTTTGGTTGTCAGCTTATTGTGTGGGATGGGTTTATAGGACGATTGACTGTTCAAGAGACCAAAACTCCCAAAATTGACAATGATGTTAAATTTTTTTTAAAATAGTAGTAAATATTCATGAATAAAATTTTTCCTTAACATCTATTGCAATATAATTTCTATTATAGTTTTCACAATAATTTTGTATCACTTCAATTTCAATATATTCTTGCAAAACAAATTAAATGTTCACAATTACTCTTGAAATTTAACTTTTCCTTATATTAATAACACAATAAAAGTACCTGTTTTATATAATACTAATAGTTATTACTTTTCAAGCCTATTGTGCTGATTTACTGCTGGATTTGATATATTAAATAGAACACTTCCAAATGGTACAAGCGCAAATCAAACATTTTCTACTGTCAACAATTATACAGTTTTTTTCCACACACCCTAAAACAGAAAAAAAACAACAAAACAAAACCACAAAATAAAAAACAAAATGACAGACAACATTCAGAGCTTCCAGAAAACTGCTTCCAAAAGGGTCAAACACATCAACTGATGTAACAGCACTATGGAATAACAATGTTGGATCATTATTCAGAGTAGCAAAAGACTGCAATAGTATGTTACATGCCATCACCACCCATCATCTGCAAAATAGAAGAATGAATATTTCAAGTAATAATTTCACTAACAAGAATAATTGGATAATTTTGTTCAATTCTTTTGGATAATTTCACTAACAATGTTCAATTCTTTTGGATAATTTTGTTTTTTTTAACTTTTCCATATTAGTTTGAGAAACGATAAATAAGCATTACAATGATAATAATACCCCAAACTTGAAGCGAAAAAAATTTATTGGTACCACGTTTTTAGGCATTCTATTTTAGTCACGTATAATGAAGACGGGGGAGAAAAAGATCAAAACTAAAATGAGATTGGTACTAAAAAAATTGAATTTATTTAATTTAACTAAGGATATAGCTTTTTTTGATAGAGAGAAAAGAAAAGACCGAAAAAGATTCATTTATCCAACCTCATCTGATCGAAACACAAAACTTAGTTTGATATTTATGAGCCACATCCATTGATGGGATTTCACCAGTCCTAACTATGGTGAAGGAAAATAACACCATAATTACCTTGAAGAAATCTCCAAAAATCCCTTGCAGGGGATTTCTGCGCCGTACTCCATAAAACTTCTCCGCAATTCCATCGAGCAACTAAACAGTAAGATATGTCAGTTAAGGAAATGAACTAGAGATATCAAGCCAGCAGCAAAAGAATAAGAAATACACTGTTGTGGCAGATACATTTGTTTTATGTATCAAAAAAGAGAAAAGGTTGCTCAATACGCATTCATAGAGAACTTGAATATACTATTTTGGACCAAAAACCACACACCTCATTCAATACAGGTTCTATATCAATGCTGGACTTGTAAGTCTTTCTCAACATATTAAACAAGGGCAAAGCATCCCTCTGTAACCTGCATTGGAAAGAACATTGAAAAATTCAATCTCTCTCTTGTCTCTCTTTCTTTTTTTTTCTTTTTTTTTTTAATAACCAAGAGTAAGCCCATCTCCTTGTCAAAGGTTAATGCATAAACAGAAAAATGAATGGCCAAGTCAAGCAATTATGTTCTACTTAGAATGTCAAAAATATATGAGTTTGACGAGTAAATGAAAGATTGATAGAATAGTTATTTTCTCTGTTTTATTTTCTTCTGTTAATATTTAATTAAGTTGAGGGTATGATGGTCATTTCATTATGTTAGGGTTTGTATATATATTTTTGCTGATGTAGAGTGAACAATCATTCCAGATATATATAAAAATTACTCACCCTCACTTCTCTCTCTTAAACCGTATAAACCCTAACAGTAAATTTTTTCATTATACATTATAACTTGGTATCAGAGCAATCTATCATTCATTAGGAAGTGTTCTACAGATTTTGAGAATTTGGTTCAAATTTGTGCTCCTATCTGTTTCTATCATGGTTATCAGAATCCCGATCCGGATCTTACGATCCTACGATCTTATGATCCATTTGAGTGCAATCGATCCGGATCGTGTAAAAAACTCCTTATAGGTAGGATCTTTCGATCCTGGTAGTGAGATCTTATAGAATCGTAGAATCCCGATCCGAATCCGATCCAATCCGATCCAATTTACAAGCCTTGTTTTGTATTGTATGACATATTTTGTTGTAAATTTTATGTTTGTTGTCTAAATACTAATTTATGTCGTCAAAATAAATAATAAAAATTAAGTAGAATTGAATCAAATAGACTAAAAAAAACAAATTAGGAAACAAACCTTTAAATATTGCGGTAATTTAAGAAAATTAAATAGTCGGAAAAACAAACTTAACTTTAGCGGAGTTTAAGAAGGGTAAGATGATTGCAACTTTATCCCAATTTTTGGAGAAATTATTTTTGTGACTCGAATCTGCTCCACCAGGGATGCTAACTGCAAACCTTATCATTCGACTAAGCTACTCTTTTGAGTTCTTAATCTATTTTCATATCCAATTTTGTTAAATATTTTTTCTTCACTTTTTATGCATTATTGTACATTGTAAAGTATTTTATTATAGAATTCTTCTTCTTCTTCACCTTCTTTTTTGATGAAATACAGAACTTTTACCATCGAGTTTTCTATTGCATAATATTATAGGTACATTTTACATGAAGTATTATATTTTTCACAATATCTTCACTTCTTTTTAATAGAATATAGGTTCATTTTGTGTATACTTTGTAGGAAATATTTATTTAAATTAAATTATTATGTAATTTTTCTTTTTCAGTAGGATCTTACGATTCTCGATCTGATTCTACGATCTGATCCTATAAACACCTCCAACGATCCAACGTAGGATCCCGATTTTAACAACCTTGCGTGTTCCTAGATCCTATTGGGGGGAAGTGGTTCTCACTGTAGCTTATTTGATTAATCGTCTTCCTACCAAAGTCCTTCAAAAACAAACACCTCTTCAAGTTCTGTTCGAGTCCACATCTTCTGGGTTCTCCATTTCCCCTTAGACCTTTGGTTGTGTTTGTTTTGTCCATAACCATTCACCCATTCGTGGTAAATTGGATCTTAGGTCTATTAAGTGTGTTTTCCTGAGTTACTTTACCACACAAAAGGGTTATAACTGTTATCATCCTCCCACTTGCAAATAATTTGTCTCCATGAATGTCACCTTTTTCGAGTCTCAGTCTTACTTTCTACCCTCTCCAGTGTCCTAATCATCCCTTCAGGGGAAGTCTTGGTGTGAAAAGATTCTTGTTCCACTTTTGTCGGTGATTGAACAGATAGAGGATGATGAGCCAGCAGTTGTTGAAGCAGGCAAAGTGTACATCAGAGACAAGGACAGACAAAAAGTCACCTGGATGCAAGAGACTACTTTCCCTCCTCTATTGCCAACTTCTTCCTCGGATGAGTGTCTAGAGTCGCCCCCCCTTTCCTGAGAGTCCAAGTAATTCTGATCCTAGTGCTCTTATTCTTGAGTTTTTAGATCTTGATGTTCCCATTGCTTATAGGAAGGGGGTTAGGTCATGTACTCAGTATCCTATTACGAATCATGTCTCTTATTTTAATTTGTCTCCCTCATATAAAGCCGTTTTGTCTAAGATTTCTTATGTGAGTCTGGCTAACAATTTTCAAAATGCTCTCTCTATTCCTAAATGGAAACATGCCATGATAGAGGAGATGAGAGCTCTCAGCAAGAATGGCACTTAGGAGTTAGTGGAGTTACCTAGAGGCAAACATCTAGTTGGGTGTAAATGGGTGTATACTGTCAAACACAACGTAGATGGTTCCGTCGAACGGTACAAGGCAAGACTGGTTGCTAAGGGCTTCACTCAGATTTATGGAGTAGATTACCAAGAGACATTTTCTCCAGTTACTAAGATGAACTCTGTGAGAATACTACTCTCTCTTGCAATAAATTTGGATTGGCCACTTCATCAATTTTATATGAAGAATGCCTTCCTACATGGAAATCTAGAAGAAGATGTCTATATGGATATTCCCTCTAGTTTTGAGGATGCTAAGTCTAAAGGTAAAGTGTGTAAGCTCCAAAAGTCACTTTATGGGCTAAAGCAATCGCCTAGGGCGTGGTTTGAACGGTTTGCTCAAGTTATACTGAGATATGCGTTCAAATAAAGTCAAGCTGATCACATTTTATTTGTGAAACACTTTGCATATGGTAAGACCACAGCTCCTATTGTTTATATTGATGATATTGTTCTAATAGGGAATGATGTTGAGGAGATCCCTCGGTTGAAAGAATACTTGGTCAAGGAGTTTAAAATCAAAGACTTAGGTCATTTGAAGTATTGCTTGGGTATTGAAGTAACTCGGTCCAAGGACGGCATCTTCATATGCCAGAGGAAGTATGTACTTGACTTGCTTAAGAAAATTGGGATGCTGTGAGATAGACCATGTGATACACCTCTAGAACCGGGCCAAAAACTAAGTAAGGATCAAAGGGGAGAGCCAGTGGACAGGGGAAGCCATTAGAGGCTAGTAAGTAAGCTCATATACTTATTCTACTCATGTCCAGACATTGCCATTGCAGTGAGCATGGTCAGCCAGTTTATGCATGCCCTTACAACTTCCCACTTAGAGGCGGTTATGAAAATCCTGAGGTACCTGAAATCCTCTTCTGAAAAGGGTCTCTATTTCTCGAAACATGGCCATCACAGTGTGGAGGCATTTACTGATGCGGATTGGGCTGGATCAGTCACTGACAGACGATCAACTTCTAGATATTGCACATTTGTTGGAGACAACTTAGTCACACGGCGAAGTAAGAAATAGAATGTGGTTGCTAGATCTAGTGCTGAGGCAGAATTCAGAGCCATAGCTCAGGATGTATGTGAGTTGTTATGGATTAGACTATTGTTAGAAGATTTGGGGATCCATCAAACTGATTCCATCAGATTGTACTGTGACAACAAGGCGGCGATCAACATAGCTCATAATCCGGTACAACATGACAGAACCAAGCATGTAGAGATTGATAGGCACTTCATCAAGGAAAAGCTCACTAGTGGCACCATATGTACTCCATTTGTGAAAACTGGAGACCAGCTAGCAGATATTCTCACCAAATGGATAGAGAGCAAACCATTTCATGACATTCTCAACAAGCTGGGCATGAGAGATATCTTCACATCAGCTTGAGGGAGAGTGTTAAAATAGGAAATTATATTATTCTGATTTGTTCCTTGATTGAGATAATGAGCTATTATGAGCTGGTGGCATGGTAGTGGGGTGACGGCGGCGGTGATGGCGACAGTGATGATGGTTACTAGCCGTGGTGATGGTAGTGTGGTGGTGGAGGTGAGAGTGGTGGTGGCGGTGGTGTGGTGACATTGATAAAATTTTAATCGAGAAAACGTTTTCTGTCTTTTAAAAGTGGAAAACATTTTTTGCCCAAATAAGCTTGTTTTTCATTAACCATGGAAAATATTTTCCGTTAACTTTCATTTTTCATTGTACCAAACACCAGAAAATACAAAAACATTTTGTAGAAAACGTTTTCCGCCTGAACAAACGAAGCGTTAGTGTCACACTTTAGTCCAAAATCACATAAGAGGTAATTGACTATTTTTAAATGACAAGAGGGTGAAGTGATACAGGGTTAAACCACAGGGGGTAAGGTGGATTTTGCCCAATAATAAGATAGCAGGCAACACCAGCATCCTGCCCCCACCAGAAAGTAAATTGAGACAATAATGTCATCAATTAGTGCTTAGATAATCAATTTAGAAATTCAATGTACAAGGAAGGCATAATATGAATAAGTGAGAGAAATCTGATCATCAGATAGATTCAAGACAACTGAAAGTATATTATTGTGGTCAACAGAACCTGGTATCAGCTACAAGACTTCATCACTGTTCTTCTGAATCCAATCAAATCGTTTTACTAGCAAATATGATACTGAATAACCCGCTCACCCTGGAAAATAAAAAACAAAATTTACATTCTAATAACAGGAAAAAGAAAAAGAAAAAGGGAGTATTCGTCTCTTTTTCATTGTATGCTCCTCTTTTTTGGGTACAGAAAAAAGATGTTTGGTACAGAAAAAAGACGTTTGGTACAGAAAAAATGTACAAATAACATTCCGAAAAAAAGTTAATTTCAAGACCTTCGCATGCGAATCTTGCATGTAAAAACTTCTAGTAAGGAGCTACTAAACAAACCCAATTTGTGGTTTCAAATTGTTGACTCATGCAGCTCAGCTAGTTGTTATTATGCATTTATAACTAAATGTCAGATGATCATTACAATTACCACCAGACCTTTTTTCCATGAGATAAGACCACATCAGATATTATGGAAGTTACTGTTATATAAGAAAAAAAAGGAAAAATTTCTTACCACAGGACTTAAAAATTTGAACTATGTACTGCTAGTAGAGGCAGTAGCTGAAGTGACCGGGTGAGTAGAGGCAAAAAGAGCACAGCACGAAAAGACTATTATAAATTAGCTTCAGGGACATCACAAGCCCATCTGTTTCATCCACAATGACCACTTAACAGCCTCTAAAAACTTATCATTCCTCCGCAGTGCTGTGATCAGATTAGTGTAGGTTATTCTATCGGGTTCTATCCCACTTTCCCTCATTTCCTTTACCAAAGCCACAGCATCTTCAACCAGTCCTGCTATTCCATATGCCTTTATCAATGTGTTATAGCTGCACAAGTCAGGCCCAAGACCAGTAGTTGCTTTCAATTCCATTAGCACACCAGCAATGTCTTCAATCCATCCTTGTTCTCCATATATATTAATCATAATATTGTACGTATAGTGATCTGAAGCACAGCCTGACTCTCTCATCCTCTGCAAAACACTTGTAAAATTCTTCATTTGGCCATTTTTTCCATAGGCATCCAACATACAATTGTAGGCTTCAAGAGAAACTGAAAAACCATTACACTGCATTTTTCTAACAGTTGATGACATATTCTTTAAGCACTTATTTTGCCCATATGCAGCAACAATAGTATTGTAAGAGATAACATCAACCAAGCCTCGCTTTCTAGCCATCCAGAACACCTTCCTAACCTTTTTAAAAAGCCTGGATTTTCCATAAACATTGAGCATAACATTGAACGTAATGGTATTAGGTGCAAAACCACGCTGAAGCATCTCATCAAAAATCCTTGAAAGCTCATCGACTGGCAAGGCATAAGCACAGCAGTTTATCACACAGTTGTACATTTCCTGATCCCAACTGACTCCAGTCTTTACAATCTTGTAGTAATAAAGATCTGCCAATTTATCTAGCATCCCACATTGTTGATAAATACGGAGCATATCACGGAGCAGATAAATGTCTGGAACAATATTCTTTTGTTTCTCCATTGTGTCTAGAACAGAACAAGCATCATTTATACGTCCAGCTTTGACATACATTCTTACTACAATGCTAAAAGCAATCATGTCCAAGGCTACACCTGCCGATTTTAACTTCAGATAAAGGTTCTCCGCTTCTGTGAATAAATTCATCACACTGTAAATGCCCATCATTGTGCATATGATGTGTAAGTTTGGCTTATCGTCAGATTTTGGCATATGGGCATATATCTTGACCGCATTCTCAAGATGACCCAAATCTTTGCATGAGCAAATTAATAAATGGTACAAGTTATCCTCAAAAGATTGATCCTTCCACTTTTTTTCCTGTAAAATTTTTATTGCATCGCTCACCAAGCAGTGTTTCACATAAGCCATGACAAGAATTGAGCATGATGTCTGATTAAACAGAACATGTTCATAAAAGGAACCTTTCACAACTCGAGGCACTTTATCAAACCTTCCGGCTCTCTCATATGCTTGTAAAAGAATACCAAGGACAGAGGAATATTGACAACCCATCATCATCATATCCTCGAGTGTTGTACTGGCAGCCTCTTCATCCTCGTGATTGGCTTGCAAATTTATCATTGTGTACATGTTGGATGAGTTAGGTTGAAATCCTGCCTGTTTGAGCTCCCTATAGTACCAGTTTGCCTCCTTGTAGCTGTTGGCTCGACCCCACCCTTCAATCATGGACCTGTAAGTTGTTTCATCAGGCTCTATTTGAACAGCTCCGAGGTTTTGAAACAAGCATTGTGCAGCGTCCATTTTACATATCTTCCCATATCCAGTGATCAATGTGTTGTATGCAATTATATTTGGGGGAAATCCAGCTTCTTGCATTGAAACCAATACCAGTTCAGCCTCCTCCAACTTGCCTTGCTGACTATATGCGTTCAGTAATACCAACCAATTCTCCATATTCAGAATTACTTCATCCTCTCTCAAGAACCATATAATTTCTTCTGCCTTATTATACAGACCCAGACGAGTATAGATTGTGATCATCGCTGAATATGCAGATTGGCATCTAAGTCCGAAATTCCTCATTTTGAAAAATGTAAATTGCGCTTCCTCAACATTCCAACCCTTCTGATAAAGACTCATGAGCATGCCAAATGTAGCCTCATTGGGACAAACACCATTTTCCAACATCAAGCGAAACCACCTTGCACCCAAACCCACATGCCCCTGTTTAAAACATGCATAAATAAGTGTGTTAAAAATCTGGAAGTTGAGTTCACAACCTGAATCAGTAGTCATCTCACGAATCAACGCATCTGCCACACTCCAGTCCTCCTTCCTACCCACCACTCGGAGGGCTAAATTATAAGCAGTTAGATTCTGCTTCAACTTTCCATTGCTTCTCATCCACTCAAAAAACCTTAGAGCTTTACTATCACTATGCCTCTCTAAGCGTTTCAAGATCAAATTGCAATGCTCCAAACTCAAGTCAGGCTCAATAGCATAACTATCAACATCTAAAGCATTTTCAACACCGGAAACAAAATTTACACTAGTTGTCTCATCTACAATCACAGGCTTTTTTTCTTCTTCTCGTTCTCGTAAGTCATCACTGCCCACATTCTTTACGCCTCGAGATTTTTTCCAAACACTTCTCCCGCGCCTCCTAAATTGGCGACCATTAAAATTAGAGTCTTCCAAAACCAAACTCTTATTACCTAAATATTTATTTGAGCAATTAAAGGAATGATCAGTTTGACTTGAACGTGAAATGTCTGACAACTCGGTACCGGACCGAGAAACCCTAATTCCCTTGAACTTACTAAAAGGGTTGGGAATACATGCACCAGTTATATGCACAGAACAAGTATATGCAGATAGTGAATAGTGACCCCACAATTGTGAAGAGGAATCAAGTTTCTTCATTTGAATTCTGTAAAATCAAACGCAAATGAAATATGATTTTAGTTGGAGAAAAAGCAAGCAGTGATGAGATGAGATGAGATGAGATGAGATGAGAGAAAACAAAATTGATTTGAATTGGAGCATAAAATGATAGCTTCAAGTGCCATTTGATGGGAATATGAAGTTATGAAAGGAAAGAATCGAAGGAGTCTTGAGTTAAAATGGCAAACCTGTCAAAAAGAGATAATGGAATTGGAAGCAGTGGAACTTCTTGTTGTTGGGGGTTGTAGTTGATTCACAGGTCAGAGAGGCTCTTGGTGGTGAGAATCCAGACTTGGGGGAGATAGCAGTGGGACCACCGCAACACAGAAGCCAATTAGAACCATTGTCGCCTGGACGACGTAAGCAAGGCGATGGATGGATAGGACCGTGGTGGCAAGAGGAAAGGGACGTGGTGGAAGAAGATGGCACTCACTGTGTGATGGGCTCAAATATTAATATGGATGAGTTCTGAATTTTATTTTATTTTATTTTCTTTTGAAAAACATGCCTCCAATTACAAATTAACATAGTTTTATACAAAATTTTATAATATTAATCATAACATACGTTACGTATGGTATGATTGATATAACAAAATTTTATGGTAAAGTTATGTAGTAGAGATGCAATGCATACCATAGGCTTTCACTTCTTGAATTTGGAGAAATTATATTTTGCTCCGGGGGCAAACTTATGTGGTGCTCCAAAATAAGTTTGATTGATTAAAATAGTAAATCATATTACTTTTGTGTCTCCTTTGAGGGAAAATTATTAGGGGAATTTCAATGTTGTGGTATAAATAAATAAAAAAAGACAAACTTCATTTTACCTTTGTGATTTAGTTTATGTGCGAATCACCCCATTACCACATAACCCTGTAGACACGCCATTTTTAAAATGCCTTAAGACTTGGATGCTCTTTTTTGAATTTTCAATGATGAAAACAAGATGTGTTAATCTTACAATTGCTGTAGCAAGAAGTCTAAGAGTCAAGCTTTAAACCACCCTAATGCCCGCTTTGGACAAAATGTTTTTCAACTAAAATGGGAACTTCTTTCAAAATGAGTTTAGTGGTGCGATTCCAGACATTACTGTAATGTTCTAGAGGCTTATATTTTCAAAAATCAAAGTGTTATATTCTTTCAAACAAACTGAGCAAAGAACATGGAAGGAATAAATAGAAGGGGTGAAATCCTCTGAAATACCTATTTTTCCTCTCAGTCCAGGCTGGACCTTGTTGATCCGATGATGCATTCTTTGATTGGCCGAACACCATATGATGGCTGGTCAAAAATGCATTCGACCAGACACCAAAGGGAACGAGCGGCTGAATGTTTCGAGTGCAAAGTATTTCTGGGAATTTCAACTTGTTCAACACATTTTCCACAAATATCTTAGATATTTACACCTTAGACTCTATATATAGAGCTCGGCAGCTCATTCCAAAGGATTGAAAAATTTTGCCCAAGGCTCATAAGAGCCTATTGATCTCTCTCTCTCTCTCTCTCTCTCTCTCTCTCTCTCTCTCTCTATTGCCCTCACCTCTTACCTACCACCCATTAGCTTTGAACACCAAAGCTCCATTGAAGTTTGATCCTAGGCTTCTTGTTAGGACTTTTGGACATTAAACAACGCATCTAAAGTGACTTGAGGAAATTAAAAGAGAGTTTGTAAATCAAGAGAACTCATCCTCTTTAAGAGGTGATATTCTCACACCTTTTATCATCTTTCTCCATTTCTTTCTTTAATTCAAGCTTTATTTTCATTATGTAGTTGCTGTAAAGAGGTAACAAGTCCTCATGGATGTGGAGCGAGTAGATTTAACCACCTATGCATTGAGTTGATAGCTTTTCCTTTATTTTTTTACTTTCCTTAGCCCTAATTTCTTGTTCTTATGTATTTTGGACCTTTGTGGAGTAACTATTAGCCATCTATTCACAAGTTCAATAAGTAAAGGAGTGTAACAAAGAGAAGATGTAGGTTCTTATCCATTTCTTGGGCTTGAATTTGTTCTTGATTTGATCCATTTTTTTTTTAAAGCAAAATATTTGTTATACACATCTGTTTATATCATTGTTGAGAGTTGTAGCCCATCTACTTCTTCTCTAAGTGATCCTTATGAGTAGATGGGGTATAAGGAATGACCACTCCTCAGAGAATGTCTTTTGGCTTCAGTTTCCGAGGAGTGCTCTTCTGGGTGGTTCTAGATGTTAGACAATCTTCACTATATTTAAAAAATAAATTCTGTTTGTATACTTAACAACAAACGGAATACAAAAGAAATAAAGGAAATGAGAGAGATTGTTTGATTACAAAAATCAAACCAGAAAATAAAAATAAATAAATAAATAACAAATTTTATTTTGTTACAAAAACAAAATCAAAATCTAAAGCAGAAAAATAATAAAACAGAAAGTAAATTAACAACTTACCAAATTAATTTCTTGAACAAATTTTTGATCAAGTCCAGTGTTTAACACTGTGTCCTTAGACAGATTCGTCATATTCACGGTGCTTTCAGATTGTAGACGCCTATCTCCCAAGATAAAATGATCAACAGCAAACAATAGCAGTACTACAAAATTGTTTGCACTACGAACACAATTTGTTTTTATACACTTTCTCACAAGAAAATAATGCAACAAAATACAGAGAGTAATTACAAAATTTTTTGGACAAAAATTAAAGTGAAAGTCCAAATGAGGGACTACCTATTTATATAGGAAAATGGTGGCTGTTTGGTTTGAATTAAACATGTACAAAACCTGTTTAGTTTAAATTAAACAGATACAAATCTATTTAAACAGGTAAGGCACTGTTTGGTTTGAATTTCAAACAAATATTGAATCTGTTCGGTTTAAATTCAAACCGATTGGAACCTGTTCAGGTGGAGGGAAAATTGGACAGATTTTCAAAATTTAAATTCAAATTCTGGAAAGACTTTATTTTACCAAAGAATAAAATTAAATTCAAATGTTTTTTGCCCAAAAAGATAGGTATTGCGCCGGACAAGCCCAACCTAACCTTATACCATGCACTCGTGCCCAGGCCCAGGCCCAGTCCAGCTCGACCGACCAGACGGACAGCAGCGACGACGTCTACTTATGTGTTTATTTTTGGATCTAATGGGTCTAGCCCACTTTGCTCATAACCTCACCCTTCTACACACTTGGGATGCCCCTTGGGGCTCTCCCCAAGTTACAAACTCATGCCTTATAAACCCACAGAATTCTTTCCACCAAACCAATGTGGGACAAGCCTTTGTTCAAACCTTAAGGAATTTCCACCAAAAACTCCATTTCCATAGAGCTCACTTTGGCTTCTGTGGGAGCCGACTTTCGTCGGATCAAAAGGGACGAATGGACAAGTTCAGTCCGAGACATAACATTTATTCGGCATTGATCCTAGTCAATTGAAGAGCCGAATAAAATAATCGGCATTTCCACCAGTAAAACAAGGGCCGAGTAGAAGCACATGTAAAGGATCGAGAATGGGCCAGGCCCTAAGGCCCAAAGAGAATAATATAAATACAGGATCATTGGTCAGAGAAAGGTATGTGAGAACCATTACGCTTAAACTTAAAATACAAGTAATCCAGAAAGTAAAGACTAACTTGTCCGTCGGAGTGCTAATTCCCGCATCCCCGACCGAAGTGTTTATTCCTTTTTAGGTGATTAGCTGAGGATTGTGAACGTCCCCAGGATCTGAAGAGTATTTCCAAACCACATCACTACAAATGGTGCCGTCTGTGGGAATACTCAAAAACATCCATGGCGGGCGTAACGGAAGACCCTTCGATAGTCACTGACGAAACCACACAGAGAGACGACCTCACTCCAACAAACATGCTTGGACCGGAGACCATCGCCGCGAGACGCGCTTTGAACTTCGCCTCACCCTCGACTTCAAAGCATGAGACAATGCAAGCAATCATGGAATAAGCAAAGCAAAACGAACAGAGGTTGGAGAACATGATCACTGAGAACGAACGTCTCCGTCAGGATTTGGCTTTGGAAGTGGCGAAGTCCAAACAAGCTGTACGCCAAGATCCAGAACGACCTCTGGGCGTAGGTGGTCAACGACCCGGAGCCCGACAACAAGACACTGATAGTAACTCCGACTCATTATCCCCGGAGCCCAAGAAGAAGGGACAACCCGAAACTTCCAGTTCCTCTGAAGAGAGTCCACATGTAAGGCATAAGCGAAGAAGAAACAGTTCAGATGAAGAAGACCAGCATGATCCCTTTGTACGACGGATCGCAAGGGCGGTTTTGCCCAAAAAGTTCAAAGCTCTGTTGTTTACCCTCTATGATAGAAAATCAGACCCTACCAATCACATCCGTCACTACAAGCAAGCCATGACATTGCATGCAGACGACGAGACCCTCATGTGCCGAATATTTCCCAGCAGTTTAGGACCATTGGCTGTCAGGTGGTATTATAAACTGGAGCCGGCTTCGATCAAAAGCTTCCATCAATTACAGAAATCCTTCAGGGCCAGATTCATCACCAACGAGGTCCAGCCGAAATAAGCCGACTCTCTCTAGGCAATGCAGATCCTGCCAGAAGAAACACTAAGAGAGTATTCGGCGCGCTATTGGGAATGCTTTAATCTTGTTAACAGCGCTTGCAACGACTCCATGGCCATCACCGCCTTCAAAATGGGTTTACATCCTGATAGTGCTTTCCTCAGCTCCTTGACTAAAAGACCTCCCAAAACAGTCTGGTCGTTGATGAAGAAAGTTGAGGAATATTGCAAAGTGGAGGATAACGCCTTGCGGGTTAAAGCCGGAAACATGGCCAACAAGACGGCCCCTTCTAAAATTGCTCAGCCGTTAAATTCTGTACCACCTCAGAGCCCTAAGCCACGATATCGGGCTAAACGAGACAAGAGACGAGATTCTCGCCGATCAAGCGACCAATGCTCTCACCGAGCAAATGAACAACTGCAAGTTGATAGTAGGCGCACAAGGCGCGTCGACAAGAAATATACGAAGTTAACAGAGCCGATCAGCGCAGTTATGTCTAAAGTCCAACACCTTCTGTTCTTCAAATGGCAGTCCAAAATAGTGGGACCTCCCGACACGAGAAGACGGGATAGACGGTGCGAGTATCACAAGGACCATGGCGATGATACTAAGAGTTGTTATGCATTGAAGGATTACCTGAAGGAATTGGTACAAGATGGTAGGCTACAACAGTACGTCCGAAAAGGCAACCCAACCAAAGCAATAGCCTTGAGACAGGATTCCCCTCCACTCGGTGTGATCCACATGATATACAGCCTACCAATGTCATCCGCGGTACATACGATTCAGTCGAATCCCGACCCTCAAAATCAACTCACTCCGGCAAAACGGCCCCATGAAGCTGTGAGCATTGCTTTTGATAATTCAGATTTGGCCGGAGTGACACTTCTCCACATCGATCCCTTAGTAATTGAGCTA